AGTTTTGCTGGTTTTCAATGGAGTTTTTTATTTCCTGGATATATATGAGTCTGTTTCATGAATTCTACTTCTTTTCTATATCATTCATTCAAAATTTCCATCATTTTGCCATGCTCCTGTACTTTTTTGTCCATGTTTTCTCTGGCTATGCTAAGAAATTCCATAATTAAGGTTGTCATTTCTTTCTTTACCAGAGAGATTATTTCTAATCTGATTTCCTCTACAGCCTCATGGGTTTGTTATTTCACTTGCTACCTTTTCAGAAATTTCAGGTGTATGACTTCTAATGTTCTCTATTGCAATATCTCCTGTACTTGTTCCTGATGGACTGGACGTTTGAGATTGTGTTTTATGTCTTCATTTTGTCATTTTCACCTCTTGGGTTAATATTTTGGTCTTTTCAGTCAAACACGTCTCTACTGATTGTCATTTGCGTCTTATAAACCTACCATATGGGTAATGTTTGTCTAATTTCTGGGGGCCTCAGTGAAGGGGAGGGGCCAGTCACTTGAATTCCTCCTGCAAGGCCTGTTGGGTGAGTCCTATGTTTTTTCTAGGCTGACTTGCATAAGAGTGTTGATGTAAGCCAACCCTTAGCTCCTATCGTTACTGTGGCTTTAGGCTGTTCCAGGCTACCAGATTTAACTGGCTATATTGTGCACCTCAGCTGAAATCCTACTGTGTCACTGGGGGTCTCCTAGGCCCTTTCAAGTTCCTCTGAGTATTGGGAGGCCTTGTTGTTGCTCTCCTCAACCTATGTAGTGTTTTCTGTATGGAAAAAGGACTCACCCACACTCTTGCTAGTATCGCCAAAGTCATTTTGGGGGGGTTGCTTCTTCTCCTGTTGATCCACTGAGGTCCTCTATTTGAGGGGTAAACTTACAACCCTGTTGCAGGCCTTGTGGGTCCTCTGTATGGGTGAGGGGTTGCTGAGGTTCCCACCAGCCCCCCAGGGTTCTGCAGGTGGTGGATGTAGTCACTGATGGTCCATGGGCGCTGAGGTCTCTGAGGTAAGGGGGAGTGGTGACCAATGATCTCTCCATCTGGAGGTCTCCAGAGTGGAGGAGGAGTTACAATCCACAATCTTGCAGCCCCTGAGATCTCCAGAGTGAGGAGGGAGGTGCTGCCAATGATCTACTGGCTGGGGGGGGGGTCACTGGAGTGGAAGGCGAGGTGCTGCTGACAATCCTAACAGTTGCAGGCATCTTTAGGGTGAGGGGCTGCTGATGATCTACTGGCTGCAGAGGTCTCTGAGGTGGGTGGGAGGTGCTGCCGATGATCCCACCAGCTGCGAAGGTTTCCAGGCTGGAGGGGCTTTCTTTAGTTTTTGGATGACAGAAATCTTGAAGTTTGACTGAGAAAAGCTGCTTGACATGAGTGAAGACATCCTAAGAGAGAGGCCATGTGTGCTGAAACTGGCAAGGGCATGAAGTGAGGCTTCCCAAGTTCTTCGGAACTCTTACAGTGGGATTTTAAAGATTCCAGACTTGGAACTACACTACTTAATGTTTGCCTGAGTTTCAGTTTTGCTTTGATCTGATTCTGTTTTCCTATTTCTCTCTTTCAGTATGAAAGTGTTTACCCTGTCTCATTATACTTTAGGATTATGTAACTTGTTTTTAATTCTTACAGGGGTTCACAGCTAACAGTTTGTCTTGAGTCTTAGGGAAAAATCTGGATTGGGGTTTTTAGTATTGCTGTAACTGTTGAGACTTTGGGGGAAGGGATTATTGTGTTCCAGTTATACGCAGAGGTGATTATTAATGTTTATACATCAACTTGATTGAATTAAGAGACAGCTGCAGGATTAGTAAAGCATACTTTTGAATATGTCTGGGTCAGTCATGAGGCATGACTTCGGATGATGTAGATGGTTACTGATCCCTTCCTCTCTGGTACTATTCCCCTGACCTGCTTCCTGGCTCCCATGAAGTAAGTACCTTTGCTCCACCATGAAATTCCACTAGGATGCTTCTGCCTTGGAGGAAAATGATCATGGACTGAATATACTGAAACCATGCACCAAGTTAAACCACTCCTTCTTTAAGTTGTGGATACTGGTGTTATGTCCCAGTGATAGAAAAGCTGACTAACACAGTGTGGCAGTTGTATAATGTTAAGTGGAACTTATGATCTTATGTTTATTTTGGATATATGTATGGCTTAAAATATGTTTGAGTATCAAGTGACAAGGAGTTGTATATAATATACTTAAGGTAGACTGTCAACATGATTGGCCTGGATCCACCTCTGAGATTACTAAAGCACACTTACTAAAGCACACCTCTGAGATTACTAAAGCACACTCTGAGATTACTAAAGCACACTTTGGATATATGTATGGCTTAAAATATGTTTGAGTATCAAGTGACAAGGAGTTGTATATAATATACTTAAGGTAGATTGTCAACATGATTGGCCTGGATCCACCTCTGAGATTACTAAAGCACACTTCTGGGTGTCTGGTGGTGGGTCATGGAAACATGACCTTGGATTCCGAATTTGGTTCCTCACCCATTCCTGTCTGACACTGTTCCTTGTTCTGCTTCCTGGCCACCATGAACTAAGAAGCTTTGCTCCACTGTGTCCTTCTACCATGAGGTTTCTGCCATGGCATCCAACAATGGACTGAATTCTCTGAAACCATGAGCAAAAATAAGACCTTCCTCCATTAAGTTATAAGTCTGGTATTTTCTCTCAGAAATGACAAAGCTGACTAACACACTATTGAAACAGCATAGATGCTTATCAACAAATAAGTGACTAAAGGAAACATGGTATATATACACAGTGTAAATATTATTCAGTCACAAAGAAGAACAAAATCACATCATTTGTTGGAAAATGGATAGAACTGGAGTCCATATTGTTAAATGAAATAAGCCAGATTCACATGTTTTATCTTACATGTACAATCTAAAAAGCTAAAAATAAAGGAGATGAAAGGCAGCTAGAAAGCAGAAATTTAGAGATGATAAAGGGGATTTGGTGGATGGGGGAGGAAAACAAGAGAAGGATAACAGAAAAAAATCTAAATACATGTGTATATCAATACACATATAAACTAAACTATGTATATCAATGCACATATAAACAAATCTCATTATTCTGTTTTAGGAATATGCACCAAAATGTCTATTCATACACTTGAATATTATCATCCATGAAAGTGAATTAAGTATCAATTCCAGCTACAACATGGACCTAAGAACTTAGACATGAAAGGCCACATATTGTGTGATTCTATTTCTAAGAAATGTCTAGAATAGGTAAATTCAATTAGACAAAAAGTAGATTAGGGGTTGAGGATAGACAGTAAACAGACAAGGAAGATGGCACTGAGATGATGGAAATGTCTAATAGGGATTGTAGTAATGGTTGCACCACTTGGCAAATTTACTAAAAATCCTTGTGGTGCACAATTAAAACAGGTCAATTTTATGATATGTAAATGTTATTTCGATGAATTATTTTAAACAAGCAAAGGTACAAAGAAAGAAACAAGAGAGAGAAATTTCATCCCCTTGACAATTTTTAGGGGTCATACAGAGCTCATCAGTCTGTTGTCTGATGTTTATGGTGGTGGTGATGGTGAGGTCTGAGGGCCAGGCCATTATTTGGTATTTTAAAGTGAAAACTACAAATAAAACATTGCTGGCTTGAAATTTGGAGTTGTGAGGGTAAGAATTGGATGATATTTTAAAATATTCATGATGTGGAAGTGACAGGACTTTCCACTAATCAGATACAGGCAGTGGCAGAGAGTGCAGATGTCTTCTACCTAGCATGCTTAAGGTTGAATACCTATTGTCCACCCAAATGTACTGTGTGCCACTGTGCTCTAAATTGCAACGAGAAGATCAGCATCTTGGTACAGCCGAGGCATTCACTGATTGTCTCTGGAGTGAACAAACAAAGTATGAGGAATAGAACAAAGATAGATGCATAGGTTATAAAACATGGTTAAACAAAGAAGCCACTGGGTCCTGCCAAAAAACTAGTCCTAAACTCACCCTGAGGATCTGTTCAACAGATGTCCAGCACAATTTCCCTCAGGCTACTTGAGCAATCATCAGGTCCCTCCATCACCCAAAAGAACACCAAGGTTTATATCAGGTACTCCTTGCCTAGAACCTAGAGGTATGGCACAGGCTGTGTTTCCCCAAGTCTCTTATCCTGAAAATCTACACAGGACAATGGCAGGTTCATATACAGCCCATAAGAGCATGGGGGATATTTGGCATTATACAAAGAGGATGACAATATTGCCAACTGGTGAATCTATGTTAAGTTTGCCTCCAGGAAGGAAGAGATTCCTGTCACCCAAGAGGTTATTGGTCCTGTCCCCTACCCCACTTCATCTCTGGCAGGCAGAAAACACAGCTGCCAGGAGCATCTTAGACCATCAGCGACCACTTTGGATATTTCACTGCTGTTTTCTGTGTTGACAAGCAGAGATGGCAAAATACTTGTGGTTCCTCATACAGACAGCAAAACAAGGAAATAATATGCCCTGGCTCATACATCTCAGAAATAAAAGACTAAAAGGGATTTACTAAAGAGGCCCCTAGACTTTACCACTGCAATGAATAATCCCAAGTTATACTAGAGAAGTGAAATTTGGAATGCAGAACAGAAATCTGGCTGTGTGAGCAGTAATGTTAGAGGTGGAGACATCTCATGACATATAATTTTTAACCCTGTTTTAGACCATATCATTAGACAAAAACCATTTTCAATAATAAAAATTCAAGCCATTTCTGGTTGTTTTCCTGGAAAAGCTGTTAGGTTACAGGAAAAGTAGTAAGAGTTCTTTTTCCGGGCAGGGAGCCTAGGACTCAAAGGGAGGATCTGGAGAACATCTGGTCATATTGATATATAGATGCCAACACTGTGTGTGTGTGTGTGTGTGTGTGTGTGTGTGTGTGTGTGTGTGTGCGCGCGCGTGCGCGTTTCTACTCTGCTGACTCACAGCACTGAAGCCTCTCTGGAAATACCCCCACCCTTCCAGCCAGCCAGTTCATATACACCACTTGGGCTCCTCCTTGATTCAAATGTTAAGTCAAGAGGAAGAAAAACAAATTCAAGAGCTGCTCTTAAGCGTCTAGAATTTCTGTGTCCCACCTCCCAACAGAAGAGACTGGATCCAGATCTGACTCAGTCCAGTACAAGCTAAACTGTTATCTTAACAGCATTCCTTAAATCTTTGGATACAACTGGAAGAAAAGTCCATGGTATTGTAGCCTCTGCTGAAGGCAGGGGTCTGAAAATCAGCAGTAAAAGCAGAAAGATGGCGAGCCCAAGGCCTGACACTCAAGTAGACCCTGAAATTGAGCTTTTTGTGAAGGTAAGCTTATTAGCTGTCATAACAGCATATAGTATATATTACTTTTTCACACTGTACTTCAGCTTGTAAAAAATTCTCAATATTTATTACTGTTCATGAAGAAAGAATTCTGTAATTATTTTCTTAGTCTGAGTCCTAGAAGAATGCCTGGGTGTTTGGCTACTCCTAGAAAACAACAGGAAAACAGATATCATCTGAAAAAAGTTAAAATGATATAATGGAAAGAGCACTAGATTGATTGATAGTCAGAATAACTAAATTTAATTTTCAGTGCTTCCTATGAAAACTTGGGAAATTCTCTCCCTCCCTTACTCCCTCCAGAGCATTGTTTCTCCATCTACACAATAAATGAGGCTGACAAAATGATCCTAAACAGGCTTTCTAGATCTCGTAGACTGTAAAATATAGATTTTGGGAGACCTAAAAACATGAAGGAGAGGACAAAGAATGGTTCAATAACCATATTCCTTCATAGTCCAGGCAGAAATTTCTAAAATTCTCCCAAAGGACAAACATTGAAACAGGGTCATTTGTTTTTGTGGGAGAAAAAAGGAGTCTATGTGCTATTATGCAAGGAAGAGGCATTTTAGAATGTTGTGCTTCCTCTTTTCAGTATGCTCCAAAGGTTTTTTTAAAAAATATTTCTTAACTTTACAGAAATGTACTTTGGAAAACCCCTAAAACAGGAGAAAGAAACATGTTATCTCACCAAGAAAAAAATTTACATAGGTTACTCCAAATGAAAAATAATTTCCTAAATCTTTTCATACACTGTTTAGTTTTTTCATGTATTTTCAGTGACCATTAGAAATATTTAGGATAATACAATAATGATAGTAAAAAGAAATTTTTATGTTGTGGCTGGTCCTTTTCTAAGCACTTCTAAATAATTTACTTATATTACCTGATTTAGCCTCAAATAAGCTACTATTCTACTATGAATTATAGTCATATTAGTATCACCATCAGTGGTAGTGATAGCAGCAGTTACTACTACACAAAAATCTTAAGTTATTATAATATTGTAATATTATTCTCATCACTTCTAGGTAAGTATAGTAAGACAATAAAATTTAAAGAATTTTCTAAAACTGTGTAAACTTCTGATGATTTTTCAAAGGCATAAAATATAGTATGATTGTCAAATGTTAAGTCAAGCATCTATTAGCTACAGTAATAGTGCTACAACCATTTTAGATTACTCAAAATTGGTCACATAACAACAAGAAGGACATCATCAATCTGTCTTTTAAAATTATAAGAGAGAACCTCAAATTCCTCCATAACTAGGTAATCCAAATAAATGTTTGCCAAGCTATGGGATGTAAGAACTACTTCTCTTATCTATGGGTTATAGAAAAACATGTCACTGCTCAGACAGTATAAAAATTTTCTAAGTAACCTTTTACATTTACTAGTTCCAAACAAGAGGTAGTGTTTCTTCATAGGTTAACCAAAGTGTTCCTTTTGTCTAAATTTTGTTTACTCAACTCACTCAGACTTAAGTCAGTTGTTGGTAATAATACATGGTTTATCTTCATTGACTTCCTATATTTGGAAGGTAATATGGATGAGAGAGGTTACCAAATCACACCTCGGATGAGCAAATGCTGATTTGAATAATAATGTTCAGTTTCAACTACCCTATCATTTACTGAGTGTTTATTATAAGGTAGGCAATATAGTAAGTAGTTTATTACTAACTCCATTTTATGGATACAAAATTTAAAGGAAACAGAACTCTTCCCAATACCATATAACTAGTGAATGGAGGAGTTATAATTCTAATTCTTTGAAATACCTGTGTCTGATCTCACTCAACTGTTTTCATTTGGGCAAGAGTTAGTAGAACTTTCCAGAATTTCATCAGATGGAATCATTTAGTTGTAAGCTTATTTAGTCATTTAATAATGTTAAAACAAATTACAGATTTTTCTAGAAGAAGCTTGATTTACATCTGGTCCATGTTTTTTGTTTTGTTTTGCTTTACACTATGATCCACAAATCTCTAGAAATTTCATGGAAGATATTGGGAGGTGACATAATAATTAAAAACAGTAAAAAATGCTAATGAGTAAATTTAAAAAGCATTGATATTTACCAGTGATAAATATTAAATGAACCTATGATTTCCAACTCAGCTCTTGCTATGATTTTAAAACTCTACCACTACTTGTATTCCTACAAGTGATTGCATTCATATTAAAGTAAAAATCTATTCTGTATTACACCACTGTAGTCAGTGAAAACAGTGTCTTTCAACTCTGAAAGGTTTGGCAAGATTTATATCCAGGAACTAAGAAAAATGTTTTAATGTACATTTCATTTTTTTGTAAATGTTGAGCCCACTTTATTTGTTTGATATTCATTGTTAAACAATGCTTGCATTCTCTATTAAATACAATAAAACTAGATATTAATAGATTTATACAAAAATTATGGAACTAAATATTTGGGCCCAAATTCTAAAAGTAATCATTGTGTTAAAAACTTTTTTAAGTAAATGTAAGTAAGGAGGAAAAGGTTATACTTTACTTTGAATATTCAGACCATTTTTAAGCCCTCTTAAGACTACCATAAAGATTGATTAATTTAAAAATGCAAGGAAACTATTAGGTGGAAAAAAGAAGTGTTTAAACATGTGGATTCTGAAGGAGATAGTCTTGAATTTGCTAAATGAGGAAAATAATATGTGTTAACAGCTCTTGATTAGCTGAATGTTCTTAAGCATGCCAGTTTTGGTGAGCTTCACTGTCCTCACCTATAAAACAAGAGTGATAACATAGCCCACCTTAAAGGATCATCCTTATAGTGAGGGTTAAATGAAACAAATATGGAAATAACAGTAGTTAGTAACATAGTAAACACTCCGTAAATGTTGATTATTGTTGCTAATATTATTTTTCAAGTTTATAAACTTAGATCACAGACACAAGGGAGAAAAAATATTTTTAACAATGACCACACTTTGTCAGCAAATCATACTTAAGAGATAAGTAATTTGTCAATTAAGCTAGATTTATATCATAAAAATTTATGTAACACTTTTAATCATAAAATAAACAGAAAAACTTGAGTTTTCTTGTGAAAATTTGCTCCATTTCCCCCACATATCAGTATTTTGATTCTTCTTTCCCCAAAGCTGATCCACCCTTCCTGTTGTATCTATTATCAGCTTCATTCTTCTTCCTGCTTCCCACCCTTAATCATGTTTTCCTCACCAAACTCAGTTCAGATTAGATGCTTAATCTGACTTTTGTTGCAAAAGAAATACAGCTGCCAAGGTTGGTTGCCTCTTCCCGTACCTATTCACTCCCTGACATCAGGAAATAGCAACAATAAATATTTCCTCAGTCACACTCATTGCCAAGCAAAGGAAAATTTGCTAAAAATTATACACAAAAGTTTTGCCCAGGCTTCTGGGACCTTAATATTGTTACAAATAACAGATTAAAGTAATATTAAGATAAAGCACCATATATTTCATTCTCTGTCTATATACTAGTGGCTAAGAGACTGAAGCAAAAGAGAAACAATTGGGTCTTGCAGAAGAGAAATGTTAATAGCTTGGACTTAACTGTGCCTCATAGATACTAAGCATCAAATAAAGATTGAATGAATGAATGAATGAATGATCATGGCAAAGGAAAGAGCTAAATTTTGGGGGGAGATACCTGACAGAAGTTAGTTTGGACTCAATATAGGAGGTTAATTAGAAGGATGCTTACCAGTTGTCTGTCTTGGACAACTTAGTAGATGGTGTTGCAATAACGAAATGGCACAGAATAGGTGGCTGTAATAATAAAAATTTATTTCTTACAGTTGTAGAGGTCAGAAGTCGAAGATCAGGTTGTCAGCATGGTCATATTTTGGTGAGGGCTCTCTCTTATTGGCTTGTAGATTGCCACCTTCTCAGTGTCTTAACATGATATAGAAAGAGAACAAGATCTCTGGCATCCTTTCTCATAAGATCACCAATCCAATCTGGAAGTTCTCATTCTTAGCACTTCATCTAACTATAATCACCTCCCAAACACCCCATTTCCAAATACCATCACTCTGAAGGGTAAGAATTCAACATATGAATTTGGGAAGGTACACCATTCAGTCCATAGCAAATTCACAGAATTAGGGGCTCTAAAGAAAGAGTAAGTTTGTGTATAAAGTAAAGAAAATGGGTTAAAATTTACTTGGAATACACTGAAACTTAATCTTAAAACTTAGATCTCACACGAGGACACTACTTCAGCTATATCCCTCTCAACAAAAAGTTGCCTTTTTCTCCATCCCTCTTACTGTTGAGCCTGGAATTGAGGTAGGTGTCCTCTAGGTATCCTCACTCCCCACTGATGTTTCCAGGACTCGTTTTCCTCCTGTCATAACAAATACCTAAGTGGAGTCATCACTACCTCTCATTGCTGTAGTCCCCAAGTCACTCTCCCTTATTTTTGAAACTCATAGTCACTCTTTCCAGTACTACTCTCCTAATTCTTGATGATTTTAATACCTATAGAGTGACCCAAATCTGTGATATCTCAGATCCTTGACTTCCTGTCCTTTAAGGATCTTATTCTAGGTCATCTCTCAGTTCTCCCTACCATTGTCCTACCATTATGTTGGTCATTGCATTGATTACAACCTCTGCATAATATTGTTTATTCAAGGTGCTGTAGGGGCCTGCTTCTGAGCTTTTATATTTTAACATATTTTATCAGTAGAATTTATATAAAGTAAAATACACCCATTTTAAGAGTATTGTTCAATGGCTTTTAACAAACTTACATGTACATGTAACCACTACTCCAATCAAAATATGGAATATTTCCATCAGCTCAGAAAGTTCCTTGTGTCTCTGACACATTTCTTAACAATTCCTTTGAAAAGAAGCTTTAGCCTTGATGAAATCATGAGTTTTTATCTTTTCTCCCTCACTCTCTTACCAGTTACACTGACTTCCTTTCAGTTCCTTACTGCAGGGCCTTCGCACATGCTGTTATTGATGTTTAGAATGTCTTCTTATGCCCACTCACCTAGTTAATTCTCACTCCTTTAAACTCTTTTTAAATTATACATTCCTAATCAAAGGCCTTTCTTAATAAATGTCACATAGATTTTCCTGTTACACACTCATGAAATACACTTCGTTTCTTTAAAGAAGTTATCTCTATTCTATAATTAATTAGCTTGGGAGTATTTTTATTTTAATAGCGTATATATAATATAATATACCAGAGTATGCTAGTATATGTTAAACACATAATATGTTCGATGAATCTTTATTGGATAAGTGAAGGAAGAACAGAGGGTTCACAGATTAAATATCAAAACAGAAAAATGTGTTGCTGTTTTCAATTAATAGAACAAAGATGTGTTTTTTAATGCTAACTATTAGTTGTTATCTAATATAGATAACTATTAACTATTTGTTAGATAACTATTAACTATTTGTAAAACAAACAGAAACAGTTAAAATACTAAATCAAGAGTCTGAGTACACCTCTCACATCAAAAATAAATTTCAAATACAGTAAACAAATGCAAAAATGAAATAAAAACTACTAGAGGAAAACATGATAGATCTTTGTAAAAAAATAAGAAAATAAAGTTTAAAATGAGCTTTTTGTAAACTTTATGTACCTAAGCAGATCAGAAACCAAACAGCACAGAGGAAAAGAATGATGAATTTTGTGTAAGTTTTAATTTAAATGACATGTTTTAAAAAATACATGCAACATATATCACAAAAAATATCTTTATATATATATATAACTTTTATACTTTTATATATTATATATTTATATATGCTGTATATTTTATATACATTAATGAATATATATATATTTTTTTTCCAAATCAATAAAAACTATCCTCTTAATAGAAAAATGGGAAATAGTAATAAATAAATAATTTATATAATAAAGAAATCAAATTATCAATGGACATATAGAACAAAATCAGGAAGGAAATTTGGCAAGTTCTATCAAAACAGAAAATATAATCTTTACTCAGTGTTCTCATTTTAAAGATTAGCCTTAAAGATGTAATCTCAGATGCACTATGTTATATGGTCAGAAAATGTTTGAAGTACTTAGTATAGTAAAAATTTTGCAATATCCTAAATTTCTATCAACCAGAAAATAGTTATACAGATTTTGGCAATATTACAAATTTATTATGTGTTTGTATCACTTGTAATTTTATATATAATGGGATTGATTTATTGTCTTTTTTTAGCCCACAGATTAAGAACTTCTAATTTTGTCTCCAGTACCTAGTTTATTTCCCAGTGGGAACTCAATACATACTTGAACAGATGAAAGAATTGAGACTTTTCCTTACCCTAACAGGCTGGAAGTGATGGAGAGAGTATTGGAAACTGTCCCTTTTGCCAACGCCTTTTCATGATCCTCTGGCTTAAAGGAGTTAAATTTAATGTCACTACTGTTGACATGACCAGGTAAGATAATTCAGAGCATGTTAAATTCTGGAACTTCAGATGAAATTGAATGAATAAATTTAGAGTGACTTGAATGTTACATTTATGATATGTACTTTCTTTCTTTTTTAGTTAATTTTTTTGGTACATTTTAGACATATATAATGATCACATTCATCACAGGGAATTTGTACCTGATCTCTTCTCCTTCCTTCAACCCCTCTTCCCTTCCCTATTTACAAAAGCATTGTTTCCATTTTTCCTTCTATTCTTTTTTCTTTTCCCTTCCTTCATTTCCTTGACCCTCTCTTGTTTTTCATCCCATTTGAACATTTTTCCCCATTTCCTAATATCTGTTATACATTTCAGCCCTTATTTACACTTTCATGGGTTTCTTAATATTACTCAGCCATAAACAAGGATAAACTTGAGACATTTCTAGGTAAATGGATGTACTTTGAGGCCATCTTCTTAAGTGAAATAAATCAGACATACATGTTTAAATATCGCATTGTTTCTCTGGTGTATGACATGTACTTTACCTAGACACCTAACTCTGTTTATTTTCAATAATTATAGAAAGCCTGAAGAGCTGAAGGATTTAGCCCCAGGTATCAATCCTCCCTTCCTGGTGTATAATAAGGAACTGAAAACTGACTTCATTAAAATCGAGGAATTTCTAGAGCAGACACTAACTCCTCCAAGGTACAACATTTTACAGGATATTATTATATGAAAGATAATCTATTTATTGGTCTATTTATTAGAGGTTGAAGATTCTTGTCAAACTGATTTGGAATTTTAGGGCCTACAGTCAAGACACATGCATGACAAATATATGATCCCTGCCATCCCCGGGCTAATATTCTGAAAGAAAAGGCATGCTATATTTATTTTTTATTGCTTTGCAACAAATATACCACAAAATTAAAACAATACTCTTTTATTTACTCAAGGATTCTATTGGTCAGGAGTCTGGGTATGGCTTATTAGAATCTTCTGCTCAGAGATTCACACAGTAAAACTGCAATCAAATTATTGGTTGGTTCTCATCTGTCGCCCAGGATTTTCTTCCAAGTTCATCAAACTTTTGGCAGAATTCAACTTCTTGCAGCAATCTGAATAAGGTTTTGGCTTATTGGTTTACTGTGGATTGGCCTCAGCTCTCAGTTCATAGAAGCTGACCCTCTGCACCAGCTGTTCAGAACATGGTTGTTTACTCTTTTCCTCAGAAACAGACATAATGTGTCTCTGATGCTTATCTGAATAGGTCATGAGTATCCAGGGTAACTTCTCATTTGATTAACTCCAGGTGAACTCGTTGCTAACATTATCATAGACATGGTACCCACTGTATTCACAGGTTTCAGCTGTGCTCAATGGCAGGGCACTATATGGGGTAGGTACATACAAAGTGGGAATTTGGAGACCATTTTAGAACCAGGACTACTCTCTTAATTCTTAATATTTGCAATTTCTATTTTTTTGTCCAGGAATTATTTTACTTATTTTATAAAATTGCTTTAAATTTTCTTTTTCTAAAATTACATATGAATGAAGCATGTATATTTTTGGAATTGATTTCTAATTCTCTTCCATGACTGCTGAATTCTTTTTCAACTAAAAGTACACTGCGATAATATCCTTTTAGTTAGAGATTGCCTAGAACATAATAGTTTAGATTTTTTCAGTCTTTGTAAAACACTTTGTTTTAAACATATCCCTTGTGCCTAGTATATAACAACAGAGAATTGCCTATGGGGTACAAGAAACGAGCAAAACTTCTGGTGGAGCCTTTGAGATCATTCTTAAGCACACAGGGAGATTTCCCATTAGAACATCTGCCAGACTCTGAGGCTGCCCAAGTAAATGGAAAAAATGGTAAATAGAAAACCTCTGAAAAATAACAGGCTTTCCATGGTCCACTGATATAAAAATTTGAGTTTAGTACCTTCCAGGGAGAGAGTTCCCCGAATAATCCAGGCACTCATGAAAATCCCGGAGGACCAAGGGTAAATTTGTCATAAACTCAGCCTTGATTCAGCACAACTTGTGATTCAAGGTATCATGCTCAACCTCCACTCTAACTTCCAAGCAAATGAATAGGTGCACCCTCTGGAGAAAAGGATAATTTTGAGCCACTACTATTTTTATGCATGTTTGTTATTCAAAAAAGTAATTAGCAAAAATAAAATACAGGACTATGTGATTTAAAAAAGAGTGAAAAAGACAATAGAACTAATATAGCTAATCCAATATTAGAACTAATCCAATATTAGAATTAGCTAAAAAGAATTTTCACATAACTGATAAGTTTAAGGAATAGAGGAAAGTAAGGTAAATATAGAGACTTTCACAAAAGCATTGGTATGTGTTGTGAAAAGAAGTGAAATTTTATAACTGAAAAAGAAAATGCCTATAAGATTTAAAGAATTTATGGCATAGGTTTAATATCAGACAAAGCATTGTATAAGAAATAACAGTGAATGGTAAGATGGGTATGTAGGAAATATCCAAATTGACATAATGAGAACAAAATGAATAAAAATATATAAAAGAGCATTTAGAGACATATAGCATGCAGAGAAAATTCTAACACTTGTCTAATTAGGGTTCCAGAATGGTCCCAGTTTGACAGTATTTGTTACCCTTCATCTTTCTTGAAAGTAGCCAGAAATCTAACAATTGTAAGGTGTTATCTCACTGTGGTTTTAATTTGAAAGTAGCCAGAAATCTAACAATTGTAAGGTGTTATCTCACTGTGGTTTTAATTTGCATTTCTACGTTGATTAGAGCTATTGAACATTTTTCATATATCTGTAACTCACTTTTATGTCTTCTTTTGAGAAAATTCTATTCAAGATCGTTGCAAATTGATGATAAAGTTGTTTTTTGTTAGTAGTAGAGTTCCTCGTATATTTTGAATATTAGTCCCTTACCAAATATATGATTTGAAAATATTTTCTTCCAACCTATCAGTTAGCTTTTGATTCTATTAACTTCTTTCTTTGTTGTAAAGAAGGTTTCAGTTTGGTGCAATCCCATTTGTTTATTATGCTTTCATTGTTTGTGTTCATGAGGTCCAATTCAAGAAATCTCTAGCAAGACCAATGTGATGGAAATCTTTTTACAGCAATTTTATAGTTTCAGGTCTGAAATTTAAGTATTTGATCCATTTTGAGTTACTTCTTACATAAGTAATGTGAGAAGGGCTATTTTCATTGTTGTGGTGTGTGGCTATCGCATTTTCCCGACACAATTTATTAGACTACATACTTCCCTAAGTGTGCTCTTGGTGCCTTTGTCCAAAATCAACTGATCATGGTAACATATATGAGTTTATACTCAAACTTCTGCATCTGGATATGCGATTTTTTCCAGCAGAATTTATTGAAGCTAAATATCACATGGTTTTTCATACATATATGAGAGAGGGAGGGAGGAAGAGAGAGCAAAATGGAAGATTGATACATAAATAGGAAGCAATGGGAAGTTCTGTTGTTTCAAAATATTTTAAGATAAATGCTAATTTATTTCATTTACTATTAGTTTCATTTGTTCACTGAAAAGAAAAATTTGTCTTTTTATTTGTTTCTTTGTAAGAGAGAATATTTTTGGTCTATCACTTGTACTCTGATTAACATTTTAGGCACTGTTTTAAGATCATGATACACAGTACATTTAACCATTTTATTCTCTATTTTGTTATGAAAATTTTTCATAGAAGAATATTTTTATGTCTTATTATTATCTCTTGGATTACATTAAAATACAAAAAAATCAACTGACCATAAATGTGTGGGTTTGTATCTGTACTGTCTATCCTATACCATTGCTACATGTGGCTGCTTTTATGTCAGTACCATGCATTTTTATTTCTATGGTTTTTAGCACTACAAATGTTACATTTTGTCAAATCCTAATTTATATCTATTGAGATGATGATATGGTTTTTGTTCTTCATTCTTTATTAATAGAGAATAACAATTTATTGATTTGCATATGTTGAATCATCCTTGCATTCCAGGGATAAACTCCTCTTGATCATAGTTAATGATCACTTTTATAATCATGATGTTGTATTCAGTTTGCTAGTATTGTGTTGAGAATCTTTACATGAATATTTATCAAGGATATTTTTCTGTAATATTATTTTCTTTTATTATCTTGTCTAGCTTTGCTGGTAGCACTGGCCTTATAAAATGAAATTGTTGTGTCCTCTTCAGTTTTTTAAACTAGTTTGAAAATGGTATTAGTATTTCTTTAAGTGTTTGGTAGGATTCAACAGTGACATGATTGGATCCCAGGTTTCTCTTTGATGGAAGATTTCAATATAACTGTTTCACTCTCTTTGCATGATATTATTCTATTCATATTTTCTACTTCTTCATTATTCAATCATAGTAGATTGTACATTCTAGAAATTTACCCAGGTCTTCTAAGTTATTTGATGTTTTGGTATATAATTATTTATAGTACTCTCTTAACAATCCTTTGTATTCTCTGATATCAGTTGCAATATCTCTGTTTCATGTCTGACTTTATATATTTAAGTATTTTTCTTAGTTTAACTAATGGCTTGTAAAATTATCTTTTCAAAAAGGCAATTCCATTTTATTAACGTTTTCTATTGTTTGTGTAGTCTCTATTTCTGCTGTGATCTTTATTATTTCCTTGCCTTTACTAACTCTGGGATTTTTTTTCTAATTATTTGAGACACTAAGTGATCTAACATTAGATCACTTCTGAAGTTTATTTTTTCATGCACTCATTGATTGCTGCAAACCTCCTTCCTAGAAATGCTTTCTTTGCATTCCATAATTTTTGTTTAATATGCATTCACTGTTTGTATAAAATAAATATTTCTTTACATTTCTTCTTTTGTCCATTGATTATTCAGAAACATTTTTAAAATTTCTATATGTTTGCACACTCTCTCAAATTCCTCGTTACTGATTTTTAATTTATCATTATGGACAAAAAATACTTGATATAATTTCAATCTTCTTAAATGTGTTAAGACTTGTTTTGTGGCCTGATGTATATTGTGGACTGATAAAAAAAACACGTATTCTGTTGCTTTTGGATGGAATGTTCTATAGATGTCTTTTAGGTCCATTTGGCCTAAAGTGTGATGTATCATTATTGATTTTCTCTCTGGATATCTGTCCATCTTTGAGGTATCAAAAGCCCTACTTTTATTGTATTGTACTCTATGTCCCTTCATGTTTATTAATATTTGTGTGCTCAAATGTTCGATGTATGATATGTTTGGATATGGCTTGTCTCCCAGAAGTTCATGTGCTGGAGCCTTGGTCTCCAATGGGGTAATGTTAACATTGTCAGAACTTTAAGAGATAGAGCCTAGTGGTAAGTAATTGGATCATAAGGGCACCATTCTCAGAAGAGATTAATGTGGACCTTGTAGGACTAGGATTAGTTCCCAGGAGAATTAGTTGTGATAAGGGTGCCAGACACTCCCCAAATCCTTTTGCATCTACTGTTGCCTTTTCCACACACACTCAGTTATTGTGACAGCATCTGCCACAAGGCCCTCACCAAAGTCAAACACATGCTAGTGCCATGCTCTTGAACTTTTCAAACTCTAAACCAACCAAACATATTTTCTTTATAAAGTATCCAGCTTCATATATTTTGTTCCAGCAAGATAAAATGGATTATTCATATGCATAATTATGCATATATTTGCAACTGTTAAATCCTCTTTAAGAATTGACCCTTTTATCATTATATAACTTTCTTTGTTTCATTGTACAATTTTGCCCTAAATTCTACTTTACCTAATATAAGTATAGCTACTCCTTCTCTTTTTTGTTTCCATTTGCATGGATTATCTTTGTCCATCCTTTCATTTTCAGTCTGTGTATGGTAAAAGAAAGTGTAGAAAACAGAGGTGGATCTTCTTTTTTAGTCCCTCTGGCCAGTCAGTCTGCGCTTCTTAATTATAGAATTTAATCCATCTACATGGATTAAAGACTTGTCAAGACTTGTCACTATGAACTTGTTAATTGCCTTTTTGTTTATTTGTAGCTCCTTTGCTCCATTCTCTCTTGTGTCTGCCTTTATGAATACGTGATTTTCTATAGTTTCTTCTTTACTTTCCACCTTTTGCATATTTATTGTAAGTTGTTACTCTGGTTTCCTTGAAGCTTGCATAAAACATCTTATATTTGTAATAACAACTTCAATCTCACATAAAATCTCTACATCTTTATTCCTGCTCCCTTGCAGTGTCATCTTTTACATTATATATAATTTAATCAATTACTCCAGCTACAATTATTGCAATATTTTTGTCTCTTAGACTTCATAGTATATATAAAAGTAACTTACACACTACCTTTTCAGAATTATAGTAATACAAATTTGATAATGTACTAGCTTTTCTATTTTATATATTTTCAGGTTAGTAATTAGTGCCATTTTCTTTCAGTTTAAAGAATTCCCTTTAGCATTTCTGGTAAGACATATTTAGTACTGAAGAATTCTGTCTTAATCTATTTTCTGTTATTATAACTAAATGCTCAAAATGAGGTAATTTATTTTTTTAAAAAAAGAGTTTTCTTGATGGATGTGGTGGAGCGTGCCTGCAATCCCCCAGCTACTTGGGAGGCTAAGGCAGGACTATTGCAAGTTTGAGACCAGCTGGGGCTGTTTGGGCAGTTTCTATCTCTCAAAACGAAATAAAAATGCTAGGGATGTAGTTTAGCATTACCTAGGCTCAATCCTCAGTAGCAGTCACAGACAGCAGATAGACACACACACACACACACACACACACACAGAGTCACACTCAAAATAGAGGTTTCTTTAGCCTATGATTCTGGTGGCTGGGAACTCCAAGAGCATGGTATCAACATCTGATCAGCATCTGGGGAGGGCCTTTGTGTTGGCTCATGATAAGGGAGATGGCATCACATGGCAAGACAAAGAACTCTAGCTCAGTCTCCTTTTTTATATATAGTTGGAACCTATAGTTTCATCAGATTTAGGGCACCACCCTTATGATCTTGTTTAACCTTAATTACTCCCTAAAGGTCTCACTGCCAAATACCATAAGTATATTAAGTTTCTACCTTCTAACTACCTCACAATGAGCATCAAATTTCAACATGAAATTTTGTAGAGACTTTCAAATCACAGAAAACTCATTTACTTTGTTTTCTGAGAAACTCTATCTTCCCTTCATTTTTGAAGGATGGCTTTGTTGAATATTCTTTGTTGGCAGGATGTTTGTTTCAACACTATCATTCTGTTCTCTCCTGCCTTGCTGAAAAAATTGTTGATAGATATATTTGAGTTCTCTTGAATACAGTGCATTTCTTTTGCTGCTTTCAGAATCTTCTCTTTTATATTTTAGTTTGATTATATGCCTTGGTGTAGTTTTCTTTAAATTTCTTGTTGTTTTTGAGACAGTGTCTAGGTAGGTTTGAACTCACTATTAGCTCAGCTAGCCTTGAATTCTTGGTGCTCCTATTTCATGCTAGGGTTACAGGTATGCATTATCATGCCAAGCTAGTCTTCTTTAGATTCATATGACTAGACATTTTTAAGATTCTTGTACCTGAATATTTACATTTTCCCCAGATTTAGAAATTTTCAGCCACTAGGTCTTTTAAAAATCTTTTTGCCCTTTCTCTGAACCTTCTGAGAAATCCATACTGCAAATATTGGTTCACCTGGTAGAGTTTCATTTTTCCTTTTGACTATTTTTTGTCAAATTCACTTTCTTTTGCTTAAGCTCTCTAGGGACTTTTATGATCAGTAACTGTGTTTTTATCCCTAGAATATTTGGGTTTTTTAAAATAATCTTTTTACAAAATTTTTCCCTTTTTCATGTATTTTTTTCTGATTTCATTTAATATTCTATCTTTTTCTTGCAGATCACTGAGATTCTGTAAGGCAATTATTTTGAATATTTTAAGCAGTTCTTAGATCTCTTGGTTTAAGATTGGCTACTGGTACTTTATCTTGTTTCTTTGATGATGCCATGTCTTCCTGATGGTTTGTTGTCCTTGTGGCAATTAATTGGAATGTGTGAATTTTTAATTTTTTTATTTAAAGAGAAAAAAACAAAACAAAACAGTAAAAGGGTACAAGCAATACAGAGTTTCAAAAAATAAACAGTAAGAAATCACTAGTTAATAGATTACATATTGTCATAATTACAAAATTAAAGCATACAAAGTGGACATTCAAGCAGTGAGATTGCAAACAGTTCTGTTCAATGATCCAACGAAAACTTAGTAATATGGTTTTCTATCTTACACACTTAAATATACATGCAGTTATATTCTTTAGAGCACTTTCTTTTCCTCTCTTTTTTACAATAACAATTACACATTTTGGGTTTTATTACTCCCACAGTTCTTATTACTTTTTTTTGAAGAGAATAAAACCAAATGTGACAAAACAAAACAGAGTCAATCAAAACAAAAGGATGGACATAGTACATGACGTAAAAACAGAATACTGGGTGATCAATGGTTACTATAATGCCTTTTGCTATCTTAAAAAGAGTTGCCTCTATCATCAGTTATAATAAAATTGAACAAAATAGTACAGAACAAAACCAATAAAACCTAAACATTGAAGACCTTTTATAGGCAAAGAGATAATATAGAAACCATTGTTTGTTTTCTGTTAGCTGGTTCTAAATACCTTGTAATACTTTCATTCTCTTAAATGATTTCACACTGTCTTGATATGTTGATGCTATAGTACACAGTTATACTCAAATATTTCAAGGAAAGAAACACTATGGTAACTACTATTATGTCAGGTTATCTGGTGGTGAAACACTATGTTGCTTAAATTGTTCTGCTGACCTATGTTGTTATGTCCTCTTTTATCCCGATCTCCCCTTTTTTTCCTTTTTTTTAAAAAAGGAAATTAATTTTTTATTGTTTTTTTAATTAAGGGAAAAAATAAATTTAAAAATAGCAGGAATGTGTGAATTTGAAAAAGTGTCATTCCAGTCTTTGCTAACTGGCTTCAGCTGGGGAAATCTTTCACCAGAGAGTCTAGGCTGGCTGCCTTGTATGACCCATAACTCTTGTGTGACTTGCTACTGCAGTCCTGGGGCAAATTGGCCTGATGTTTCTGTCAGCCAGGTATCTGAATCCATGGAGATTCACTTGACACTGGGGACTACTGTGACAATCCTGGACCTTTTGACCTACACCTCTTTATTCCCTCCCTGCCATCACTCTTGGTAATGATGTGTTATTCTCCTTTATCATGTATTTGACTCTTTCACATGCAAATAAGAACGTAATGTATTTTTCTTTCTATGACTGGTTTATTTCATTCAAAATAAAACCCTTGAGCTTCATCCATTTTGCTGTAAATGGGAGGATATCCTTCTTTTTAATGACTGAATGACATCCTACTTCTCTTTTCTCTCTCTCTCTGTCTCTTTCTCTCTCTCTGTCTTGTCTTTCTCTGCAATTTCTTTATCTATTAATCCATAAATAGACACTTAGGTTGTTTCTGTTTTGAGACTTTGTAAATAATACTACAGTGGACATGGGAGTGCAGATATTTCTACAAGGTGCTGATTTGGAGTTCAATAGGTTTTTTGAATTTATTCACAATCATATGGATTTTGTTTAACATAGTGTGGATACTTACATTAATATATTATTTTATTTAACTATGCTAAATGAAATTTGCATTACAAAGAAGACATCTTAGCTACTTCTTTCCATCTTCCCCATCTTTTTTATTCTTTCATTTGTTTATAAATTGCAATATTTGAGAGCATTTTTCTACTATTATCTTTGAAAATATATTGTTTTTAAGGTATCCTCATCTGAGTCCCAAATACAAGGAGTCCTTTGATGCAGGCTGCAACCTCTTTGCCAAGTTTTCTGCATACATTAAGAATACACAAAAAGAAGCAAATAAGAGTAAGATTTCTTTCTTTCAATCTATTTTTCTCACCTTCACAATTTCATTCAGCTAAAATAGAATTTCCCTGAATATATAGTATATGTTGAGATGATAGCCTACTTTATTCTCATTTTCTGTTATCTCCCCTTAATTTTTCTTAATAAGTTTTATTAGATTTAGAACCCATGATTCAACATATCAATTACTAATATAGCCTAATTATAGCATATTGGCATGCTAAGTGTGAACTAGCTGCAAGACTATGTGTGAGTAAGGTTTCTTAAAATATTGCACTATCAACATTCTTGAATAGGTTTACAATCTTTGAATCATGAGAATTAAGTCTCTTCTTTAGCTTTCTGACTCTTCTGTGTTGAATAACATGTATTCCCTCTCTCTCTCTCTCTCTCTGTCTCTCTCTCTCTCTCTCTGTCTCTCTCTCTCCTATCAATGCACCTTACCAAGAAAAATCCAAATCAGGATGTTTTCATTCACCATTTGATGTGACTATGTCTCCATCAGTGGATAGTTCAGCATTCTAAATAGTTAAGTAGATATTGAAGAGCTAGTGTAAGTAATGTGTATAAATATAAATGTTTAAATTGTGAAGTGCATATTAAGAATGTGTTTAGTATGAAGACAATATATTTATAAGTAATCCTATGCCTTCATTGCCTAAGATTTTGAAAAAAATCTGCTTAAAGAGTTTAAGCGTTTGGATGACTACTTAAACACTCCACTTCTGGATGAAATTGATCCAGACAGTGCTGAGGAACTCACAGTTTCCAGAAGATTGTTCTTGGATGGGAATCAGCTAACACTGGCTGACTGCAGCTTGCTGCCCAAGTTGAACATTATTAAGGTTAGTGTTTACAGGCTGGGTGTAGAAGGCCTTGTGGATTGCCAACCTTCCAGTATGATGTTACATGAAAGCTTTGTCATCATTGTCCTGCATAAGGTATATTTCCTATTTCCCCTAAGAGAAAAGATACAAAATTATGTCCTGTAGAAAGTATTAAAACTTCTTGTTTCTCTCTTCTTAAATCAGAAGGTGTTTTCCATTGTCTTTTCTATAAAATAAGGATAAATATATTAACCCTTTTCACAGAATTGCTGAGAAAATCCAATAGATTAAAGCATATAAAATGCTTAGAATACACAGTGCCTTGGTTCACAGCATTGGTTATGAACAATATGGGCTATTCAAATGATGATGATTTAATCATTAATTTCACAAATGTTTGTTGACCAGAACTTGCACAGATTTGCTCTTTATGTTTTGTGCCAAACACAGAGTACATTAACAAACAAGAAATAATCAAGACCCTGAATAAACTCCTGAGGATGTTGTATTTTCTTTTCTATTCCTTCCTCCTCTGGATATATTCATAATGAAACATAGCACCAATAAAAACATTTATAGACAAAATATTAAAATAGTGAATCCAAGATTCAAGTTTATTTTGTAGTATTTGAGTTTGAGATATGTTTATACACAGTAGGTATATAACTGATATCTTTTATTGCTACTTATTTTTCTTCACTTTACTTGAACCCTAGGTTGCTGCCAAGAAATACCGTGACTTTGACATTCCAGAAGAATTCTCAGGAGTCTGGCGCTATCTGCACAATGCCTATGCCCGTGAAGAATTTATTCACACATGCCCTGAAGACAAAGAAATTGAAAACACCTATGCTAGTGTGGCTAAACAGAATTAGAACAGCTCTTTCGGGAGAAAAAGCTCTCTTTGTTATCAGATTTTACTTCCTACCATATTAGAAAGATTTTTGGAAATAATACCAAAAATATTATTTTCTTTAACTCATTTATAAAAAAGAACTCTGTATTTTCTATATCCAGTTATCTAGCCATAAACTGTCCACTGTATATTTTATATAGCTTCATATTTCACTTCCATTTTCTTTCTTTCTACGGTAAATCATTGTGATCTTCAAGGACATAGAAAACATTGAGATCTTTTGCCCTTTGAGTTCCTAGAATGCATAATATATGAGCTAAGCAGATTTCTGAAGTTACAAATTACACAAGTAGAGCCACAATCTCAAATTGCTTCTTAGAAACAATTCCATTTAAATCATTAAAACAATTTTAATTTGTTACTTTGATACATGCATGAGTTTTTTTCTGATATGAATAATGAAATAAGTGAATAAGAATATCAGAGAGGCAAATTCTAAAATGTTTGTTTAAAATTCAGTAAATGCATCAAGACAATTGGATTTGAATAATATTCAAGCATTAAAGACCTAGAAATATGATTTCTTCATACTCACAAATGAGACTATGATCTTCAAGGCCAGATTATATAATTGTTAAATGAGCATTTGATAATTTTATTTTTAAAATTTATTTATTTTTTATCGGGTTCTGTCCTAGATCCCCGATCTCCCAAAAGAGTGTGTGGTGGTTCAATAAAAAGAGACAAGTTGTATTATTTTTAGGGCTCCAGGAGGGTCAAAACCCTATAATTAAGCTCCAGCTTTTGAGGGTAGAGACAAAGGATTCTCTGGATCAGTCCACTTCTATTAAGACCAAGGACAAAGGACAGAGAAACTGAGGAAAGTGTAGCCAATGAGCAGGACCTAGGGAGTCACTGCAAAGACGTCTCCAAGTCATAAATCAAGTAAATTAGTAGCACTGTCTTATCATGAAGATATGGTAGAAGTGAGACTGTAGGAGTAATCTTTGCAGCTGCAGTCTCTACCTTGTTAAATGGGGTTGGAGCCAGAGTGTCCGCAGCTGTGGCCTTATCTTGCCCTTTGAGGTCTCTCTGGCCTCACAGGCCACTACAGGCCTCAGCCAGGACCAGTGATTCATAGAGGCTCACTTACTATGAATCAGCTCCCATTGCCAGGCAAGGGGCTGAGGCCTAGGACAGACTCACAGATAAACATAGAAAGCCAATTAGTAAAATTTAAATCCTTCTCAGAGTTGCTTCATAGTGGTCACTAACAATTTTTATTAGTACATCTTTGCAGTGCATATTGATCACATTTACTACGTGAGATTTGTATATGAACAGAACACATCTTAATTCTTTTTCTATCTCCTTCCCTTCCTCCATCATTTTCTTCCTCATCTTAAACTATATTTTCATTTTTCCATCAATTTTTGTTTTTCTTTAAATCCTTTTCCTTTCCTTTCCTCACTCTTCCTCTCCCTTGTTCCCATTCTCATCTGAACAAGTCATTTCTACTTCCTAATATCTCTCCTTCATTCTGCTTCTTATTTATACTTTGAGATTTCCACTCAAGAGAAACAACACAATATTTAAACTAAGCAAGATCAAAAGCAAATATGTAATGAAGCTGCAAAGTAAATTGGGTTTTTTACTCATAGAAATAAAACAAAAACTAAGAAATTTAGCTGACCAATATATAGGCCTTGTTGCTGCCCATAAAAGTATAAGGTATTCAGTCCTTAGAATGATTAAAAAGCTTTCACAGAATTTAAATTTTAACTATGTGTATTGAGACTCTTAAATGTACTTACTACGTGTCACTTGTTAAAGTACTTTGAGTCATTTAAATCTGGAAACAAAAGCTAAACTTACTTCTTCCTCATTCAAAGGAAAACTAAAAGTAGAAGTGTAGTTTCAAATAAAAAGAGAACATAGGTTATTATAAATGAAAGTTGAAATTTAGATGAATTTTAAATGAAACTTTTAATAGGCTTACAAAAAAGTAAGACATGTACTTATTGCCCACGATGATTGTAAACTGAATGTACTAATAAAGAAAAATAAAACAATAAGTAAAAGACCTAACAGCAGCCTAAGCATATAGAAATGGCCCAATATACTGTCTTTGAAAAGCACAGAGTTAAAATAAATATATAATGTTATGTGCCCTCTTTTCTAGAAGACTTCTCATCAGAGAGATTGTATCTGGTCTGTAAATTGGAACTGTAGCTTCTCTGAGCAGCTCAGATAATTCTAACTTCATTAATATGATTTCAGAAAGTAAAATTTTTAACGATATTCAATTTTAAATAGCAAAATTTCTCAGCACCATGCCCTGAAATTCATTAGCTAATGCCAGTTTTACAGATTTAAAAACAAAGTACACCACCACTAAGCCTCAGTATGTATTAAAATAGTGATAAGTTGTAAATCAACTCTATTACTTCTTAGACTAAAGAATCATTATTTTTATAAAGGCTGACTGGGATTGTTAGGGTGGGAGGAAATGAGTGTCCCAGCCTTAATTACTATTATCTGTATAGATATCAATATAATTCAATTAACTATTTATTACTATGTTGTTATTATTTTGTTATTTAACCCTTACTGCAACTCCACGAAGTATGTAAAAACATAATTCTCAAATGTTATTTACAGATGAGGAAGATAATGATTCTAAAAGTATTACAGGAACAGAGATTTACATAGGCAATAAAGTAATGCTGACAAAGGATTAATAAATTTACAAATTAACTTTCTGCAGGACAATAAGGCATTATTATATTTGTGGTTAAATACTCTATGGGGTTGTACAATCACCACCATCTGTCAATTTCTGCATATTTATACTTATAACCTTATAGGTCTCCAAATCATGTGTACCTTTATCCATTTTGGATTTTTTAGTCAAATATGTTACCCAGCAATGTTACTTTCTCTGAGAATCAGAGGAACTCAGTCAAACATATAAGAAGATATTCTATTTTGACTAGCATTGTTTTATATTTTTCTGGGATGAGGGTAATTGTTTTATTTCAAAAGTCATTATTAAAATTATTCTCAGTTTATAAAGAAGACAACATAGACTCAGACTATTTCAATCTATTATCATTGTATTTTTATTAGTGAAGAAACTAAAGTTCAAAGAAGTTACATATCCAGCCTAATTTTACACAACTAGTAAGTGGTAGAGTTGTGATTTGAACTTATACTTTTAATTAGAGAATACCTGACACCTAAGAGATTGTCCCTAATCTCAAAAAGCGCACATTTTGATATTAGAAACATGCACTTATTATATGTGTATTAAGAAGGTTAAATACATGGTTATACAATAGAAATACACTCTTGTGTGTTCCCCACACAAGACCACAAATGAATAAGGGCAAGTCATACTCACGACAGAGCTCTTCTGGACTGGTAGTGCAGTTCAGTAAGTTTCTATGATCATGGGCAGAGTTTATCATACTTGAACAGGGTCCGGGGGCCTCAGGAATAATGACAGCAATCCCAATCTAACCCAATAAGTTACTCAATATGAGAAAGAAAATTTTTGCCTATTAGGTCACATTTTTAAAAGGAATTTTTTATTTTGAAAGAATTATATGACACAGATACATAGCAGTGGAATAGAAAGTCCATATATGGAAACAGGTATGACAATTTTCTATGTAATAAGATGGCATGTCTGAGAGCAGGTAGTAAAAAGATGGACTTATTTTTCAATAAATGCACTGGGACAACTACTTTAAAAATAGAGCAGGTTTCTCACTCCTTACATCAAAGTAAATTCCAGATAAATAATATAAATTAATTAAAAATTGAAAACATAAATGTATTATGACATTTCTAAAGTTTTCACAAAATATAGAAAGCATAGAGAAAATAAATTTAGCAACATGCAAATATATCTTTTAATGGAACTTCCACTGCTCTTTTAAAATTTTATTTTGAAGCAAATACAATCAAAACAATGCAGTGAAATTGGTAGGAACTTCCACTGCTGATCATGACAGGATAACACCATTCTGTCTCTCCCAACATAAAAAAAAAACTATACAAAATATGTGAAACTGCTGTCAGTAATTTAACACTAGGCAGTACAAAACTATTATCTTTTGGAGAAGACAAGCAAGCTGAGCCTTACTATCACTATAGCTATCAGCCTAAAGGTACTCATTAGACCCTAGAAGAACAATGTACAAGTAGAGAACAGTGGTCTCAGTGGATCTTTATGGATCCTTTTTCAAAACATTGTCATAAAACACATAACTTAAAACTCACCATGTTAACTACTGTTAATCATACAGTTGAGGGACACTAAATCCTGGAAATTATCTATGTGCCCATCAGTGGACAAGTGGGAAAAGAAAATGTGGCATATACACACAATGAAGTATTATTCAGCTGTATATAAGCATAATAAAATTTTGTCATGTGCAGGAACATGGATGGATCTCAAGTTTGTCATATTGAGTGACACAAGAACCCTCAGACAAACATAACATCTAGAATCTTAAAAAGTTGGTAATAAAGTAGAAAGGAGACTATTATTAGATAAGATGAGGAGAATAAGGGGGAGTAGGAAAAGGAAGAAAAGGCAGGTTATGGGGGAAAGGATATGATCCTTTTTGAAATATTGTGGTAAAAATATAGAATATAAAACTTACCATATTAACTATTTTAATCATACATTTGGAGGAATAGTAAATTATGGAAGCAAACTATCTGTACACCAACATATGAATAAAGAAAATATGGTATTTATATACAATAGAATCCCACTATGGTACAGAGCAGGATAAACCTGAGTCATTTGTAGGAAAATGGAAGCATATTGAGACCACAATTTTAAGTGAGATAAATCAGACACACAAGCTTAAATATTGCATGGTTTCTCTTAAATGAGAAATTCAAAATATAAATAAATCAAAGAGCAAAGTAAAAGATGACAGGAAGGAAGACTGTAGAGATTGGAAGGGGATACGCCAATGGGAGAGTGGGGAGGGAAGAAAGAGAAGAGGAAGTATAAAAATGTAGTATGTAAATATACTAATCTTTCAAGATGAATGTAATCATTATGTATTATAAACATTACTAACAATAAAAATAACAGGAACCAAAGGGATCTAGGTGAAACATTAAACATCAGAAAAACCAAAACAAATTTTAAAAAGAACAAAATGAGCTAAAATACATAAAAATAAGTGGAATTGAAAAAGAAAAATAATAGACCTACTTAATGAATCAAAATCCTTGTTTCTTAAACACTATAAACAATATAAACAAACCACTAGCCACTTAAACAAGAATACAACAGAAAAAGCAAAAAAATAAAAAGGAAATACTGGGGAGATAATGATTAAACAGGAAAATAACTTAATAAAAGAAAGTTATTCATAGACAAATTGAAATGCTGCTAGG